AAAAAAAAAAAAAAAAAAAAAAAAAAAAAGGGGGGGGGGGGGGGGGTACTTAAACAAATGCTTCTTTTAATATACACAGCTGAAACCATTCACTTCTTTATTTCCCCTGAAGAAAAGTGGCATAAAAGCATCCCGCACCAGCCGCTCACATGAAGGGACAACTTTAAAAAGAATACACGTGCACACATCCTCATAAACAGTTGGGGCTGGGGGGGGGGGATCCAGATGGTATTCATTTAAACAGTTCAGGCTGAGGAAACGCAGTGTTATAAAATAAAAATGTGGTAAATAGGCATTTAACACATACAGGCATACTCTAAATCAGTGCTTCTCAACCGGTTTGACTTCAGGACACAAATTTTACATTAAACATCATATAGCGCCCAAATTGTTTTCAACTGCTTGTAGTGCCCAACTGATCATATACTTAAAAGATCAGATGTGGACATTTATGAATATTACAGTTAACTAACGACATGCAAAATGATAAACATGACAAAATTTATAATTTTGTAAATGCATATGCAGAAGAAATGCAAACAACAGCAGAATACAGACCTGCCATGACCAACCAGTTCAGATGCACTTCAATAACTGGTAACAAAAGATTTAAAGTAAATTGTTTTCATAAAAAACACAATTAATAAGTCATTTAATAATCATAATAATAATAATAATAATTCCTGTAAAGGATGTTGTTAAAAGAAGGTTTTCTTAGATTTATTATTTATGGGGATAGTTTTTAGCAAATTGTGCCTAAAGTATAGCTAGGTTAGAAACACAAAAAAAGAAAAAAAAAAGAAAATATAATTTAAAATAAATTAACAATAAATAAATTGTGCTCAAAGTATAGCTTAGAAAAATTAAGCAAAAATAATTAAATATAATTTAAAATGTAGAATAAATAAAATAATAATCAACAATAAATTAATTGTGTCCAAAGTACATCTTAAAAAATGTAAATAAAACAAACAAATAAAACTATTAAAACTTTAGAATGTCCTTGATAAACCCCAGAAACATATTTTTTCCCCCAAATGATGAGCAATTCGATCCCCAGATTTACAGTACAAAACGGTTGCAATATTCCATGGGGAATGTCTCAATTTCATTTTTCACTTTAATGGGAGTTTATTTAATCTCAAATCACTAACAGTAGCCTATGTGTTTTTACCTGAATGACAGGCATGCATTTGGACTGAGAAGGAAGACCTGATGCTGCCGTGATGCAATGTCCCATGAGCACTTTCTAATTCTGCAATTCATAACAGTTCAAAATGAAGAAAAACAACACCACTGAAGAACTTTCAGCTATGCAAAACCGATCTGATGGGATGTATGTAATCTAAATGAACCTGATTATCAAGTGCCACCACTGAGGGCGATTTGTAAATGCCAGCCCTTATCATAGTCTTAGTGAGCCGTCATGTCTTTATAAAGACTGGTGATACACGCGACCCTCCCTCCACAGGAAGGAGATATAATACTCAAACCAGACTGGCAGAGGAATTTTCACTGTCAATTGGGACAGAATAAAAAGAAATCCCTTAAATGCTTGATTAACAGCTCTTCCTCTCTTCCTCTGTATTAGCTGTCACATTTTTACTCCTATGAATATTTTTCAGGGTAGGTTTAATTTTGAAAGTCAATTTCTGTCCAGACATACCTCCAAATCGGAGCTACAAAAAAGCTACTGAACCATTACCGGTCAGAAAAAAGATATACTTCATTTAACATGTGTAAACCAACAGTGGGGTATGTTGACACACTATATAGGATAAGTTGTCATAATGGGAACCAGCTATTTATTCCATTTATTCTTAAGAAAAACTGTGATTTTACTTTAGTATTTACACTATGTTATCTGAATTAAAAGTAATCATATACTGTATCAGCACACTTGGAGAAAAAATAAAGGTGTAGAAACAATTTGCATTCAGAAATT